GGGAGCGGGGGCGTCCCGGCCGCTGCAGCCGCCTGAGGGAGAGCCGGGGGCTGCCTCTTCGGAGTTGGGGCTGAGCTGTCCACGGGGGAGAGCGCGCCAAGACTGCTGCAACTGCGGGCCAAGTACGTACCCCAGCCGACGTCCGCAACTCGGGTCGGCCGGGTGCGGGACGCGTTCGCGGTCGTTCGGCCGCAGGGCGGGCGTCTTGGGGGTGCTGGCCCTGTGCGTCCGCCGCCGGAAGGAGAGGCGGCCTCGGGCTGGAGTGGGAGATCCCGAGGAACGCTGTGCAGGGGCGCGGGGTGGGCGAACGCGGCAGCAGCCCCGACTGGTGCGTTTTCCCACCGAGGCGAGGAAGCTTGGGCTTGTGTCCACTCTCCTAACCCGGCCTGGGTCGTCTCACGGTGCCCTCGGGCATCGTGGGTCTGTGTGGGGTGGTGCGTCGTGGGTGCACACGAGGGCCCCAGAGTTTCAAGCCGCCTTCGCCGGGGGCAGACTCTTTTTTGTTTGTTTACTTTACAAAAGTGCTGCACTTAGTGTCTTAATTTTTTCCGGTATTCCCTTCTTCCGAAGGTAGTTTTCTTTTTTAAAAGCGGAAGGAGAGTTTTGTTTGGATGAGGCTTTCAGAAACTTGGCACCGAAGTGCAGGCATTGGAAAGACTCAATGTGCCCCTAAAGCCGAGTAAGGAATCTGCAAACGATGCGGGGCGTAGAAGTCTTGGATGGAGAGGTGTTTTGACTTTATCAGTGAGAAATACTGAAGTAATATCAAATATTTGTGATCTGCAATCTTGGGGTTCACAAGATATGAAACGACACTTAAGTTGCAAGATCTTGTAGAAAAGTATAGCCGGATTTAAAATTTGCATATGTGGATTGTGCAGACCAAGTCTTGGCAGCAGGTGATTTGGAGTAATCCTGGATTTGCATACAATTACCCCTAGTTCCCTAAGATTCCAGAGGCTTGGGAAATTTTGGGGTGACCGTTAATTTTCAGTTTCATCTGAGAAAGCCGATTTGGAGTAACTTGTCACTTGCCATTTGGCTTGCCTGTGACGTGTCTGGCAACTCTTAAGGAGTGCAAAGATCAGAAGCTGAGAGGGAAGTTTTCAGGTCTTGTTTAAAAATATTTTGGCAGTTTTAATAGAGAATATTAGATTGCATAGGAACAGAGGAACCGAATTTAAACTAGATCAGTCACATACAAAATGTCTTAGTTAGAAAAGTGTACCTACAGTGAATTACCTTCTTAGATTTTCACTTTGTGAAAACTATCTTGGTATTACATTCCCAATTATGACTTTTTGTGATTATCAGTGGGTTTTAAGAAATATTGGAGAGAGAATGCAGAGGACTTGTTTTCTGTTTTGGATGGAGGCTCTCTCCCTGAAGACCTGAAGAGCTGCTTCCAATCCAAACCGAGTTCCAGTAAAAGTGTCTCTTAGATTCAAGGTATACCTTTTTTTTTTTTCCATGTTTATATCATTTGAGACATTTAAAATTGTTCTTTCATTAAGTTTAAGAGGTTATTTTGTCTGGATAGGACAAATGGGGTTAATATGCAAATAAGGATAGAGTTGAGAATTTCTAAATGACTGACTGGCAAGGTCAGCCTTCCTTATTTCTGTTTGGGGTATTAGATATTGGAACTTTATCTTGAAAAAACATGGTTTTGAAAGAAAATTTCAAGGAAACTTTGGAAGATTTAAAAAAAAATTTACCATCTTTCACTAAAGCTAGTTTGCCATCCCTTTTGAAAATACTTTGTTTTTCCTGGCTGTGGTGGTCTCTTTGTATACATTAATTCATCATTAATAACAGTAATAATAAAACATGGAGGTACTGTAGATTTTTATTTCATTCTGTAATTTGTGGTTGTAATTCAGATGACAAAAATCCTTAGGACTACTATAGCAGATACAGGTGATTAAGTGCACTTATATGTCTGTATAATCGAATACATCTAATAAATACTTTGTTATTTTAAAAAATTATTAATACAGTTGCATAATTTTAGCTAAACTAAAATTACATCAAAAACATCCACCGTACTGTTGGAGAGTTAGTAGATTTTTGTTCTTCTGGTTATCATTTAGAGAATCAGTTAAAGCATTAGATATTTTCTTGTAATCACACTTTAAGAACATACTGACTTATTAAGATTTTGGGGGTTTGTACTCTGGGTACTTTGAAGAAATTATAAGATCAGGGAAACCTTTGAAGAATTCATTGTTTGAACTTCAAATTTTAGAGTAAGAGACTCTTGGATACTCTTGGATAGAAACAGAAGTATGTTGGGTTTTTGAGTCTGTTAACTTAGACTCTGTCCTGAAACTTACATCTTATGTATTCAGTTATAATAAGCCTGTAGTATTTGTTGTTGTTGTTGTTCATATGCATTTTCGTAAAGAGAATCTCTGTAAGATTTACCTTTCAATATGAAGCTGTGTTCTGGATACCACATAACCATCATATATGTTACTTTCAAAGAAGTGACCATTTTACAAACAGTTTAGGATCATGCTAATGTGTAATCATCTTGTCTATGCAAATATGTAATATTAAATATATTACAGAATAAATAAAACCCACTTGAGCATGTAATATAAGGTTGCTAGCACCTTTGCTTTGAATTTATGTCTTACCTGATCTTTTCTTTTGAGTAGTAGAAAGAAGAATAGTACAGTTATTATACTAAATGCAAATTTCTTTTCTGAACTGACATGTTCAATAACTCATACAATAGTAGAATGTACTCCCTTAAAATTAATAATGGAACAAGTGGGAAATTTCAGAAGTTGTTGCTGGGAAAAAATATTAATCCTCATCTTGTGAGAATTCTCACAGCTAAAACATACCATTAAGCTTTCAAATAGTTTGTCATTTCTCAATACTTTGTGTTTATGAGACTGCATGTCAATTTGCATGTTATGTTAATTTTTACAGAGAAACTTGTAAAAAGGTGGCAGAATTTATATATATTGCCTATGAAGTATATCTCCAGAGTGCTTTTAATACCTGTTGAATGGTTTGACTGTTGGTTGATTGAAGAATTTGTAGGCATTATATGAAATGCTAGTATTTGCTTATAGGTATTAAATTAATGCTGTGATCATCTAATAGCAAAATAAATAAGATTTACTTTTTAAAAATTCAATAAATGCATTTAAACTTGCCCATTAAATATTTTTACCCAATCATAAGAGTGAGGATCTTTAAGGCTTTTTTCCCAGCTAAAGAATCAAAGTTTCCCAAAGTATCATTAATTCATTAGAAACCATGTATTCAATTCAAAGTATCTTGATTTAAAATATTATTGCATGCTTACTAATAAGTATGCCTAGGTAAAACTTTTGGACTTTGAAACGTACATAGGAATTAGTGCCCAGGCCATTCCTGCAACATTAAGTAACCCATGAAATTCAATCATTTTAGCTTGAGTTCTGGGTTGTAGGACTAGGATAGAAGTGTGAATTCATTTCTTGGAATCTCGTCCTTTTCTAAGCCAAATTCTATTTTTGGCTTTCTTTGCACCTTTCTCTCAGGCCACTATACCTTCAAGCTACACTCCTTCTAAACCTGGCTTACTTCAGAAGTTTTAAGTGTAGTCTCTGTCCTCAAATTTACTTCTTCCTTTGTCCCCATTTCCTATTTTAATCTTTCATTCCCTTAGCATGCAACAGATCTCATCTAGATGTTAAGAGAAAAACAGTTCAGTGGAACTAATTCACCTTAATCTGTTAATGATTCATGAGCTCTTAACCAAGTTTTTTCACATTTTTGGGGTATGTTTCTAAGAGTCCTCTGTATAAGTCAGGCCTTAACTGGGATTTTGCCTTTGATTTCTTTCTACTTAAAGAGCCTTTTTCTCTTTGAATGTCACGGACTTCATAAAAAGTGTACATACACACATATACACATATGTGGTAAATGTTTGGGTATATAGCAATGGTTCTTATAGCAGGAAAGGGAAGTTTTCAAGAATAGTGATTATGAATCCATTTAAATATAATGATAATTTATAAGATATTTATTATTTGGGACTAATTTACATTAAATTTAATTTTAGAAACACAAAAAGACCTAAGGTATTATGAGTAAACTTGAATTCTTAAAAATGTTGGTCTTAACTGGTCGTGGTAGTACACACCTGTAATCCCAGGATCTCAGGAGGCTGAGAGAGGAAGATCTCGAGTTCAAAGCCAGCCTCAGCTAGCACTGTGGCTCAGTGGTAGAGTGCTTGCCTAGCACTGGTGGGGCCCGGGTTCAATCCTCAGCACCACATAAAAATAAAGGCATTGTGTTGTGTCCATCTACACCTAAAAAATAAATATTAAAAAAAAAAGCCAGCCTCAGCAAAAGTAAGATGCTAAGCAATTCAGTGAGACCTTGTCTCTAAATAAAATATAAAATAGGGCTGGGGATGTGGGGTCAGTGGTCAAGTGCCCCTGAATTCAATCCCCAGTATCTCCCCCCACCAAAATAAAATCTGGTACTAACCACATGCAGTTCCTATATTTGGGAGCACATCCTTTGATCTCTTGGGAAAATAGCCATATTATGAGAGTCTACCAAAAGGCCTTCTAAGAAAGAGAAAGTATTGAGGATGAGGGAATGAAAAGAATTATAGGTAAAGTAGCAAAATGTACCATTATTAGATTGACATTTCACTGGGACGCCAATTTACCCTGAAGGTGTCCCTTTTGAAATATGAAAGGAGGCTGCTGATCATATTCTGAGTCAAATATTGGGTTTCATTAAACAGTCATTATAGAGATGCTATTCTACATAGAACACTTTGCTAGGAATAAAGGTGAATAAAAGATTAATGAGATCTAATTCCTATCCTCTGGGTGCTTATAACTACAAGAACTTGTTCTACAGAGATAGGTTAAGTCATCTTTGTTCTGTGGATCCTTTGTATGACATGTTGCATAGCATTTATCACAATGTTTAACCATCTGCTTCTTGTCTATCTCCTTCCCCTTAATTGTATTCTTTATAAAGGACATTCTTTACTTTGTATCCCCAGAACTGACTCAAGTGTGTGGCATACTTGAATAAATTTTAAAAAAATGAGAAAGATAGGAAAAATTGTGGGGTTCCAAGAAGGGAGAGGACAGTGTTTGAAAGGCTTTATGAAAAAGTTTGTAGAGGAAGGATGTCTGGCATTGGGCAGAGAAATGGAAGGCACGTTTGAGGTATGCCCAGGGGCTCTTTTTGGCCTGAGTACGGGGTCATGTTAAGAAACAGATTTGAAAGGTTTGGATCTGAGATTCCCATGTAAGTAGCTTGGGTTTCTTTTTCTAAGCTGCAGGGAAATTTGCATAGATGAGTGAAGATAGTCCTATGGGAAATGAAGTTAGTATTGCAGTGTGGGATGTATTAAAGGTGAGAAAGCTATTTTCAAAATTGGGCAAGAAACAATAAAAATCAGAATTAGGTGCCTTTGAAACAAAGAAAAAGGGTGGCATGGTCTAAGGACATGTAGATTTGAGGACGGAAGAGGAAAAAACAAAGATGGAATTCACATTTTTATCGATCCAGGAAATCAGAAAAGTCATAGTGCAACTAAAATTGCACCAGGAAAGTGTGAATAGTGAAATTGAGAATCCAGAAAATGAGACAATGTCCTTGCTTTTGGACATACCAAACTTGAGGTTTTAACAATCCCTGGGTGAAATTCCATATTAAATAATTCACAAGAAAATTTGGTTCTGATAGTTCTCAAACTTCTCAGATGTAAGGATCACTTTTTAAATTAAAAAAATTGCAAATGTGATAATTTTGCTTTTAGCATTTGTTTATTGAGAATACACATTCTACAAAATTTAATTACACTTTTAAATGAGTTTTTATTTCATTATATCATAGAAATATTATTTTAGTTTCATATATAAGGTGGACATGTAACTCAGCAACCAGAGCTTGATGTACATTGGATTTGAGAACACTTTGAGTAACTACATACCCCTTGGTTTTGAACATTTGGTCCAAGCTGTAGATAGAGATTTGGCATTCATTGCCTATAGTGATAATTGAAGCCATCAATGGGTCAGATCATCAGGGGAGAATATGGACAGACAACAGAAAAAAGACCTAGTGTAAAACCTTGGAAGCTGGGTTCACCGATGGACATCTGTAGCCTCAGCATTGAGGTGAGAGGATCACTTGAGCCCAGAAGTTCAAGATCAGTCTAGGCAACATAAAAAGACCCCCCACTAAAACAAAACAAAACAAAAAACCTTGCACTTAGAACACATTCAGAGAAGGTAGGGAAAACAAAATGATTCAACATTTACCAAAGTCAAATGAAAAGCATTTTAAGGAGTGACTTGCAGCAGAGAGATTAATGAGAGAGGAAGAGACCAGGTGATAACTCAGTAGTTACTAGAGATTGATAGATTGATGGGGTCAGAAAGCTGGCTGGATTGAGACCTCTTTGAAGGAATAATTTTTCTTTTTCCTAGGGACCATGAAAGAGGCCTCTGTCCTCCCCTATATCCTCACATGGCAGCTTGGAGAACATCATATAAAGGTTTTGTTTTCCACAGCAAAGAAGTTGTTCAGTAAAGTCTTTCTGTATAAGATAGCTCCTTATGTCACTTAGCATAATTTGAATCTTGCAATTGACTGATGCTCCTTACAAGGAGCCAAAGTGAGACATATTTGTTTTTAAGATTTGGGACAAATTATAACCATTTAAAATGGATAAATGAATAAGAAACATCATCAAATGGTCTAACTAATCTGTTATTTAACTCTTCTTCTTTAATACTGGTCTTTTTATTGGACTGACCAGGATGAGGAATGTATAAGCTCCTGTAAATGGAAGTTTGTTGTGCAGGAGTAGCAAGGCCTCCTATTATCTTTCAAATGTAACAAGAAAACTTCTTTCTCTTAATTGTGGATTTTTCATGGAAAGGTCAGACTCAGCATGGGGTTCCAGGATGTTTTGCAGAAGCGTTGGTAATGCTTCTCAGCTGAGTAGATTTACTATACTATAAGCTATCTGAGTATATTGTGACCCTTTATATTTACTTCAGACCAGAGAGATGCAGGTTGAAATTTGCTTGTAACTTATTTAAACTTTATGTTGAAGCATGAATTGTTACAGGTTTTATGAAAACAGAGAATCCCATCTTATAAAAGTTTTCTTTTAAATTGAATCAAGTTAATGTATGAAGTGGTGGGTGTTTAAATTATCACAGCAGGCTTTGGAAGGAAACTGAAACATTCTCCTAAGGTAAAGGCTTAGGGAAAAAACTTTTCTGAGCAGTAAGTATGGGTCTTTAGAAAGCCTCCTGGGACTTTGAATAGTTTGCTTACTTATCTTTCAACTCTTATCTTGACTTTGGAAATGTATACTTGGTCCTATCAGTCCTTATGGAGTTATTATATCCATAAGTACTACTTCCTGGTTTGTGAGTGCTTCTCTAGGAAGTAGGGAGTTTTCTTTTTTTTCTGTGTCAATAGGAAAAAGTAAAAGTTGAAAATTATTATTTTCTAAAGTTACTGCCTTAATAAGTTTGGGTCTTTTAGCTCTCCTTTTATTGTTTCTCTTATATTTGTCTACCATGTATTTTTTTTAGATGTTAATTAAAAATATTTCAAAACCCTATTCTAGATTTTTGTCATATTCTCTATTCCATAACATAAGGAGTGAGTGATGGTGAGTAATTGATCACTCCATAAACACTGCATAATTAGTTCTTATTAGAAAGGTTATCTATGTACATGTTTATTTATATGTGTATGTATTGTGTACTCCAGTTGAAAGCATGTGGAGCAATTGTATTAGGTGTATGATGAGAAAGTGAATTTCTTCCACTTTGGACTTTTTTAGAAGCTTTTCTATTAGGTTTAATGTAAACATCTGTAACTCCCAAGGGCTGTGTTTTTGTGAGCTCACATCCAACAGGAAGATAGACTCTTCCTGAATTGGGAGGACAAGCAGATCCTTATTTAGGTGATTTAGAAAATGCTAAGATATTTTTATCCAGACAGCTGAGATGGCATGAACCCTAAGGTGAACCTAAAGAATGTAGATGATCACAAAACCTGTATAGTGTCTGTGTTGCTCAGAGGAAATACTAAATAGAGATCTTCTTGAGCAGTTTGCCTCATTTACTGAATCCTTGGAGGGACCTGGGAAACTGTTTTTCAATAGCATCTCATGGAGAAGTTATTGAACATTAATTTGCTCTTTTTTATGTCTTTTTGAATGTCAACAGGCCATGTCCATACTAGCCCTTGAAAATAACCATCAAGTTTAGGAGATCACTAGTTGATCAAAACAGATTGTGGATGATATAAAGGTTCTTGGAGATGGGGCTTCTCAGCTGTTAGTCTTTAGAGTGATAAGGAGATGTGTTCTCTTTGTTGTGGTGAGTGAAACTAGAATTTTATGTAGCATTCTGGCTAGTGGCATTTGAAAACATGTACCAGGTTTGGTGACTCTTGCTTTCAGGAGTGTTCCTTATATGCCTTTGCTTGCATTAGCTCTTAAGTTAACTATTGCTTCATACCATTTGAGTTGAGAATAGACTTCTATTTTCTTCTGATGTATGTATTTTTTTAGCCTTCTATAATTTTCTCCACAGAGGGTTCCAGGGTCCTTTAATCCTAAAGGTGCATTGACTACAGCAAGTTTATTTTTCTTAAATGGAAATACTTGGCCAACTCTTCTTTGTATGTGGGAGGTCTCCAGACAACTTTTGAAGCCTGCTAAGTGGTCAAGAAGTACTTTGCTGGATCTTGTTCTGTTTCTTTAAAAACAGGTTTCTCTCTCTTGCTTGGACTCCAAAAGTATTTTTCTTCTATATGTTGTTTCTGCCCTGGGCTCTGTGCTGCTGCTTTGGAGAGCTCACCTATCCTCTAGGTTTCATCCTACAGCTTTATCAGTAATACATACTTAGATCCTGTTCTATTATTTTCCGTGAAGGGTAGTTCTATAAAAGCATTCCATTCTACATTTCAGTGCCATGCATTTGAAAAGGAATCCCATTATCCTGATTTTTCTGTATGTTAAATACCTGTCATAATTCTAGACTCTCAGATATGTAATTACATAGTTACTTATAACTCTTCTTAAAACCACAGAAAGTATCAATAAATGTTAACTTTATCTTCTTTATCATTTATACTTAAGTGATCACAAGTCCTGACACTTATTTGAAGTCTTTTCTTGGTTCCTAAATATACCACGTTCTATTTTCTTACCTCCAATTCCTATTGAAATTTATCTTTCTTTACCGGCCAGACTAATCTTGGTAATTTTTCTTTATAAAATAGGAGTAATTATTCCTATCTCACAGAGGCTACTATGAGGATTAGAAATAAGGTAAGGTAAAGTGTTTATCATGTGGTGTACTTCTTACCTCCTGCTAATTTTGATTATCTTTGCATCATGGAAGCAGCAAAGTGAATACCCTAAAATATGGGAGATAGAGCCCTGTGAGCCTTGGTTTGAGTCCCCAGTCTCCTGCTTACTATTTATTCTCCTTTAGAAAAATAGGTCAGTTTATTTTTTACTGATGGTTATGATTGTTGTAAGTGCAAAATGGGATAAAGATGTGTAAGGAAAAACAGTTAGTTGCTGTGCAAATAGTCTCTTGTTTTTGTTCTTCCTGTACTTCATTCTTAAATCCTGTAATGTCTAATAACATATTTGGTTTAAGAAGTTTGAAGCAAGTGTGGTAAGTTTTTCCTGTCTTCTTTTTGTAGGTTAAACCAATCTACAGTAATGGCTGCGGCCTTACCCAGGACCCTGGGAGAGTTGCAGCTATATAGAATATTGCAGAAAGCCAATCTGCTCTCTTATTTTGATGCCTTTATCCAACAAGGTGGTGATGATGTCCAGCAACTGTGTGAAGCTGGAGAAGAGGAATTTTTGGAAATCATGGCACTCGTTGGCATGGCTAGCAAACCCCTACATGTTAGAAGATTACAGAAAGCTTTGAGAGACTGGGTTACAAACCCTGGCCTTTTCAATCAGCCACTGACTTCCCTTCCTGTCAGTAGCATACCTGTCTACAAATTACCAGAAGGATCACCAACATGGCTAGGAATATCCTGCAGTAGTTATGAAAGGAATAGCAATGCCCGGGAACCTCATTTAAAAATTCCCAAATGTGCTGCCACCACCTGTGTGCAGAGTTTGGGACAGGGGAAGTCAGATGTGATGGGGAGCTTAGCACTGCAGAGTGTTGGCGAGTCCAGACTCTGGCAAGGCCACCATGCTACTGAAAGCGAACACAGTCTGTCCCCAGCAGACCTTGGCTCCCCGGCTTCCCCTAAGGAAAGCAGTGAGGCACTGGATGCTGCTGCTGCCCTCTCTGTGGCAGAGTGTGTGGAGCGAATGGCCCACACACTGCCAAAAAGTGACTTGAATGAAGTGAAAGAGCTGCTAAAAAACAACAAGAAGTTGGCCAAAATGATTGGTCACATTTTTGAGATGAGTGATGATGATCCACACAAAGAGGAGGAAATTCGAAAATACAGTGCAATATATGGCAGATTTGACTCAAAGAGAAAGGATGGGAAACATCTCACACTTCATGAGGTAAGAAATGTGTGTGTGTTTTGTGTTACAATTCCTCAAAGGGAAATTTGGTAGTGGTTTTATTTTATTTATTTTTGCAGTGTTGGGGATCAAACCCAGGGGCTGTGTATACAAGGCAGGTGCTCTACCACTAAACTACATGCCAGCCCAAGTTTGTTGAAAGCTTGCAGAAAAAAAAAAAAAAGATATACTTCCTAAAAGTGATATTAAAAACAGTTCAGGTATTAGCAAAATAATATTAAATGAGTCTGAATTTATGGTTTAGGGGTGTTTTGTGTTGCACTCAAACATGATTTAGCTTTGAAACAACAAAGTAACTTTTAGAAAAATGTCAGAATTTAAACAGTGAAAGAAAGCCTAAAATCTTTGCATTTTTAAGAAGTTTGTTTTTTACTTATGAAATAAAGTAGGATTTTAAATATAGTGACATTTAAAAAAATACCTTTATAGGTTTCTACTATAGAATTTGTTCTAACATACAAAAATTACTGAATCAAGGAATGTATAAACTTACTATTTCAATATTCTGCTAAAATGTCTTCTAAAAAAGCGGTGACAATTTATACTTCTGCTATTGTGCAAATAAATGTTTAGTTCTCCACATACTTGCTAATAGTGCATTTTACATTATTTTTCATCTTATATTTAGTTTAACAGATGAAAACTTTTTGTTGCTTAAATTTACTTTTCTTAGTGAGGATAAGTATTTTATATTTACTGTTTATATGCTTAAGAGGCATTTAATTTTATGTTCGTATCCTTTGTTTTGGTATTATAGTTGTCTTACTTTTAAAAAATTGGTAAATATTTTTTATATTTTAGGGATATTAAGCTTTTGCCTGACATTGTAACATTTTTCCAAATTATTGTTTGTCCTTTAACCTTTCAAAGTGTTTTACCATGTGAAATTTTAATTTTATATAATCATATTTACTGATCTTGTTCTATATGGCCTCATTGGTCTGTTTCTATTTCTTCATTTTTATAGAGTTATTTTAGTTAATGTAGCTGTATAATATGGCATGCTCTTTGGAAAAGGACGTATTTCTTCATTAATTTAGTTTTGTAACTTTTTTGTTTTTGTTTTTTGTAAGATAATGTTACACAAATAAAATTTTAGATGCATTTGTTAGGTTTCTCAAAATGTTATTTTGATTATAAATGCCTTAAATGCATAAGTTAATTTGATAAAAATTGACTTATTTACAGTGAGACCCATACAGGAATATAGTATATGTATTTATTAATATACTAATGTATTTATTAATATACTAATATAGTATATTAATTAATACATATATTATATTCCTGTATGGGTCTCACTGTAAATAAGTTTTCTTTTGTTTTCCTTAGTTATATTATATTGTTTTTTATTTATGATACTAGGGATTTAGCCTAGAGTGCTCTACCACTATATCCGCAGCCTGTTTAATTTTGTAACAAGGTCTGGCTTGCTAAGTTGCCCAAGCTGACCATGAATTTGTAATCCTCCTGCTCCATTCTCCCCAGTTGCTGGTATTATAGGTGTATACCATGGAGGCCAGCTAGAATTCTCTTATTGATGTATATTTTGTACATTTATTGTTAGGTTAAATATTAAATGTCTAGTATGTATGTTTTTAAATTTCTTTGATTTAAATAGGACATACAAATAAAGGGATATAATCCAAATGAGTTTTCCCCCGTTTTTTTTTAATGACTATCACTGGCTGAGATTTGTATATTAATCTTGTTTTCAGCAATTTAACCATTTGATCTTTAAAATAAGTGATTTTAGATATGAATACTGGAGCTTAAGATCAAAGAATTGGTTAGCAGAATGATTTAAATCACAATAAGTTTGTGACTGTTTCGTATGTGTCCTTTTGCAATTGTTAGGTGTCATTATTTCTACACAAGTGCCTCACAGAAACTTGTGTAGAAAACATGCTTAGCATTATAGTTCAGTTACACTTTGATGCTTTTTTTTAATTACCTATGAACCAGTAGAGGAATCCAATTAAAAAGCTATCTGGCTGTTATTAATGAAAAACAAGAGGTAAGCATGTTGGCAGTTTTAGTTTCATGCTTTAATGCAATTTTCATAAAAATTTTTAAATGTAGCACATGAAACACAAAGATGAATCAAAAGACTTGTATTTTTATCAAGGTAAAATATTTTCAAAAGATTACTCAAAACAATCCAGTCAATCTCACTATAAAAAGTCCCCTCTGCTCCGTGTGTGTGTGTGTGTGTGTGTGTGTGTGTGTGTGTGTGTGTGTGTGTGTGTGTGTTTGTTTTGGTACCAGGGAATAAACCAGGGGCACTTAACCACTGAGTCACAACTCCAGCCCTTTTTTATTTTTTATTTTGAGACAGGGTCTCAGGTTCTTACTAAGTTGTTTAGCACCTAAGTTGCTTTGAGCTTTTGGTCCTCCTGCTTCAGTCTTCTAAGCCACTAGGATTGCAGGTATATGACACCAGGCCTAGCAAAAAATTCTATTTTAAAAAATACTTTAAAAGTTATTTTTACACTTGGCTTTTGGTAAGGGGCTCTTTACTTGTTTAGATAAATAAGTACAGGTGGTATTTAAATAATGAAACCATCCTGGGTTTCCTGAAATAAGGGAACACTCAAAATGAATGCCAGTAGGCTGAGATATGGAGGTGGGGTCTTTGAAAAATGTGGCTTATGTTTTCAAGATTTAACTTAGGCCACTGGTTACTTATAACTCAAGTTTGTGAATCTAGTTCAGTAATATAGGATAGATGTTTATGAATCATTAAGCTTTTTTAAACTAGTAACTTTTTAAGACTTTGGATAAAATTATAAAATCCTGAGGGAATTTAAAGAAAGTATTAAGTGTAACTTTGAGGTATTATAAAAATTTCTCATATTTTCATTTATTTGAATCAGAAAAACTTTTGTTTGTTTTTCTAAATTCCTTAAGATTAAAAAATGTTACTAGTTTGCCTTCAACTTCCAAACAAGGAAATGTATGACTTAATTCACTGTTGGCTTAATCTCATTGTCCTGAGAATTTTCTTTATAGAAACTCTATGGATACTGTTTTTTATTTTTCAAGACAAAGTAACTATATGTAGGTGTGGATGGAAGTTATCTACATCTGAAATTTTTTTTTTAACTCTCCTAAGTACCTGTGATTTTTTTCTTATAAACTTTTTATATTTATTTCCAAATGTATCATATACTGTTTAGGAAAGAATTATAGTGTGAATCATGTTAAATGCTTAATTTTTTTTTTAATTTGGTAGCTGTAGATGGACTGAATGCCTTTACTTTGTTTGTTTATTTTTATGTAGTGCTGAGGATTGAACCCAGTGCCTCATGCATGCTAGGCAAGTGCTTTGCTGCTGAACTACAGCCCCAGTCCCTAAACGCTGTTTTTTTTTAAACTGAAGTTTTTTTAAACTGAAGTTTAGGACCTGGCTAGACATAGTCTGGTTTATAGGAATCAGACCATGAAGTTAGTGTCAGAGGATGATGAGGTTTAGAACCACACAAGTAGTTGGTATGGGACAAGTAGGGCAAATGTACCCAGATGTAGTACTATAAAGGATTTCCAACACCCAGAATATTTTATTTATCCAAAGAGATGTTAGCAGACAGTAGATGCTACACTAGGCTAAACAGTATGCCTCAGATCTTCAGAGAGAGGAATGGTTGGGAACAACAAGGTAGTAAAGAATATATATCTCTTGAAATTATATAGGAACTGGGCTGCACACTGATTACCAAGACAAGGACCCAGGCCCATAAAGTAAACAATGAAGCCATGCTTGCTATTGTAATGTTGAGAAGTCAAGGCTGAGATGTTTCAGAGAAAGTTAAGTTTGAGCTTTGAGAGAAAAGGAGTACAGAATCTGGTAGACCCAAAGACTGAAAAACATTATTAATAAGTTTTGATGCTGTATTCTGAATTCTTGGCTTAGAATTGAGAGTTTTTAGCATCTAATACTTCAAAAGAAATGTTGGGCATTTCCTTCTAATTATTATTTATTTATTTATTTTTTGTTCAGGGATTTCAATCCAGGGACACTTAACCACTGAGCCACATCCCCAGCCCTTCAAAAACTTTTTGTTTTGAGACAGGGTCTTGCTAAATTGCTTAGGAACTTGTAAGTTGCTCAGGCCAGTGATTTATTTATTTTTTAAAAAATATTTTTAGTCGTAGATGAACATAATACCTTTATTTTGTTATTTAGTTTTTTTATGTGGTGCTGGGGATGGAACCCAGTGCATCATATGTGCTAGACTGCTAGGTAAGCGCTCTACCACTGAACCACAACCCTAGCCCAGGCCAGTGATTTTTAAAGTAAGTTATAGGACTACTAAGGTACTCTGTTTCTTAAATCACTTGATAAATTTACAGTTTTTCTTACAATATGTCCGTTTCGTCTGTTTTCAAACTTGCTGGCTTGAAAGTTGTTTATGGTTTTTAAGAACTAATTGTGTCTGTGACTCTGTCTTTTTTTTACCCCTGGATCAAACTTGACAGAGGATTCTCAATTTTATTTTATTTTTTTTCAGATATCTGCAAACTAGTATCTGTGTTTTTGTAAATAAATTCTTTTTGTGGTTCTGGGGATTGAATTCAGGGCCTTGTGCAGGTGGGGTTAGCATTCTACCAATTGGGCTATATCCCCAGCCTGTAAATAAACTTTTATTGAAACACATGCCATGCCTATTTATGTATTGTCTATGGTTGCCTTTAAACTGTAATGACAGAATTGAGTAGTTGTGACATAAACTAGACTGTGAAGCCTAAAATATTTACTCTCTGGCCTTTTATAGAACCATCTTCCCAACTCCTGATCTTTATGAAGAAGCGGCTTTTAACTTCATATTACTGATATTTCTGGTTGTGCTATGTGTTTGTTTTACTTTCCTGTATTTTATTGTTCTAGCTTAAGTTGGGTATTTAGTTCATCAGTTCTATCATTCTTATATTTTTTAAAAATTTATGTGGTGCTGAGGATTGAACTCAGTGCCTCATAC